GCACTTAGTGACAACGGTATAAAATTGCATTAAACCTAGCTTTTCCCGTGATAAAGCGGTCCTGTGAACAACACGTGCGAACCGCGTGCACAGACATTCTATGCACAACTAGCTTGTGCACAAGATCGGCCCGCCTGCAGCAGGACCGGCGGCAGGTGCAGGTGTGCATGTGCCCATCGCGCGCACAAGGCGCACAGATCCGTTGGCCAAGGTCCTGGCTACAGTTTCAATTTTTTTTTATTTTTCTTTATTTTTTCCGAATTTTTCTGATTTTTTCCGATTTTTTCCCCACGATTTTGGAGAGATCCTGATTAAGGCCGATTGCTCGATTTTGCCCGATTTTGCTCGATTTTGCCCGATTCTGGCCGATTTACGTCAATTCTCTCCAAAATCGTTGGGAAAAAATCGGAAAAAATCGGAAAAAATCAGTAAAAATCGGAAAAAAATAAAGAAAAATAAAAAAAAATTGAAACCGTAGCCAGGACCTTGGCCAATGGATATGTGCGCATTTAATGCTGGCGATGCCTCTCACCGTTTAGGCGCTAGAAGGAGTTTTACTCACAAAACTAGTTTTAAAAGTAGTTTCGAACCATTCTGGACCTGAAAAACCAATAGAGTTTAGACCACACATCAAAAAAAAAAATGTCAGTTCAGTGCATTATGTCAACAGAGAAATACGCGTTGTATTATAAAAATCTAGGTGTCACTAACTGCCCCGGCAAAAACTGTCACTATCTACCCCAAGTGCAGTACGGTGTTTCAACGTGAACGAGAGGTTAACTCGTCGGACTAAGTTCGGACCGCGCGTAAAATCATTAAGTATATAGTCCATACCAATCACAGAAAAATCCGTATGGTGAAGTTGGCGATATTTACGGAGTATTTACAAAAAGAAAAAAGGGCAAAAGTCGAAACTTACCTCAAAATTGTGATCAGACACATTCAAAGTTTCACCACCGCCATAACAATTTGCCGAACACCACCGCCTTGTGGCAAATGTTTTTCGAGCTCTGAAACTTGGTTAAGCCGATCGAAGTTGGTGCGAAAATTCAATTGGACGGCCTGGGGTCAGAAGTGTCACTAACTGCCCCTGTCACTAACTGCCCCACCCTCCCTTACCTTAATTTCTTTATTTATTTGTGATACTGAAATTATTAAAAAAAATATAGTCAAGTCATGACATCTATATATGTGTTCTTTATTTTGAACAAGTCTCTTTAACAAAATGCAAACAAAAGTAGAACTCTTGTGCGAAACAACTGGTCATATAATCTTTAAGTCACAAAATAATAGTTTAACTGGATTCATACTACAAATGAGTCAATAGAAAATAAAATAAAGGGAACTTTGCAAGGAACTCTTGTTGCCTATAAGTCAGCGTTTCATATATCACAGAGAAAAAGAACTAAAAATACTGGGAGTGCATCCTACTTAATTGAAATATTAATTCTATTCAGAATATTTTCCAGCAACCTGGAGCATCTCTATTATACAGTTAACTTGCCTTTCAACTGGTACTTTATTTAGAGCAACACTGACAGAGCCAATAAGCAGCTCTACTTGTGGGGAGAACTTTGCTTTTTCCGCAGCAGTCAGTGGTGGAGGTGGTGTTGCAGAAGCTGGTTGGGGGGCAGCAATACTATTCAGGGCACTTGTCAGAGACGAAGTTAGGGAAGAGAGATCATCCTTCGATCTCTTGAGCTGATCAACTTCCTCTTGAGACTGACGAACTCTTTTTTTTCCAATGTCACAGGGGGGTACAGTTCGTGCTGGGTTTATTTGCGCTGCTGCACTTCGCAGTGATTCTGCTGTTCCTGAGTGGAAAATATAACATATATATAAACTTCTACTCTCAGTAAACATATTTGAAAACAATTTAGTAGAATTTAAATTAAAGGAAACAGAAACGACCTGGATTTTGAAATGTTGTATTTCTTTGACTACACACTGCAACTGGCACCTCTATGCTACTAGCAAAGTCTTCTGCTGCCAGCAGGGCAGCAGGGAGAGGATCATCAGGGTCCGCTAGTTCCAAGAAAGTAGATGAGGAGGTGCTAGTGCTTGGACTCTGTTGCAAAAATGAAGCACTACTCAAAGATAGAGAAGAGCAGGAACTGCTGGTGCTTGGTAGTGATACAGAACAATGTGCAGGAGGAGGCAACGGAGATGTTACTGCTGAAAAGTTTGATGAAGTACTGCGAACAAACATCCGTAATACAGCAGTCAGTTTGAGGGAATAATTTTACTGAACATAATTAGGGCAATGTAAATGGACACTCACTTTTTAGGTTTGATGATGTCTTTCAGGAAAAACATATCGTCAAAAAGAAACCAATTACTGGTAACTGGAGCAGTATCAGTCCCAGCACCGGAGCGGGCCCTGCCAACAAGTACCTTCCTGCTTTCTTTGCCATATTTGTCTCTTAATTTGGACCATAGAGATCTCACATCGTCACCTACAATGACATCAATGGGCTGATTTAGTAAACATGAAAATTAACTGTACTTTCACGATCGAGAATATACTCACCCGAGTACTGTTGGTTTTCAGATGACATAGCTTTACCAATCTCAGCCCAAGTCAAACATTTGTCATTGCTCTTGGAATATCCTCGTAGTGAATTGTTGTACAGAAAAGTATAAGGTCTCACCAATGCCACAAAAGTCCGCAAAAACTCCTTCCTTCCTTCAGAAACATCATTACCATAACCTGTCTCTGTCGTATCCATTGCGATCTCGAAAACGTGTACAAAACAATTAGAATAAAGACCAGACCGAAGTGCAACAAAACTAATTATCTCAGGTTTGGTGGATAAAGCAAAGTTCCGCGAAAGCAGAGTCGCGGAGCGCGTACATATCGTGTAGTGGCCACTAGTATCATGTGGTTGATCAAAAGCAATGTGCTCCGAACGGAAACAGTTTCCTTCCGCAGCGCTCCTGGCGTCCACGACAGGAAACAGACTCCCGCGACCGCACCAACGACCGCGCCTACGACTGCGACCTCTATTGTAGACGAGCCTTAAGGGTATGAATGGGGGTATCCAAGGTTCAAAAATTCTCCCAAAACGTAAAATTTTAATGTTCCCCTATGGGGTAACTCGTCAAGGTAGATTCCTTCGACCGCAAATTTCGTCCGTTTTGCTCTATCTCTAACCGTTTAGGCGCTAGAGGGTCTTTTTTTGACGAAAACAAGCTTAAAATTGCCATAGTGACCAATAAGTTGTAGAAGAACGCCTAAAAACCGCAAAATAGAAATACAACTCCTCCCCTACCCCCCAAAAACGTTTTCTAAGCCTAAGTGTGGGTTGTAGTCGCGGTGCTTCACCGTTACATCCCTTTCTCGAGGCTTTGGGGCAAACTCAAAGACGATTGGTTTAAGCGGTCCGAAGGCCCGCTACATCATTCGATCATGTTCTTCAGCAAATCGCGTGACAGAAATGGTTGGGCCGCAAGCCCGACCATCGCTGCCGGCAGGCCCTGCAGGCCCAGCCCCTGCCGAACGGAGTTGCCGGCGGAGCGAAGCGTAGCTGGCAACTTCGTTTGGCGGAAAGCCTGCTTGTTTTTTGTGCTTGCCACTTCCCCCTAGTGGTGTGAGGGAAGAGGACGCAGAATAATTCCCACAATTCAAAGAAAACCAAAATTTAGTTGTTATCCTTTTAATTTAAGAAAAATGCACAGTAACATATAAATGCTACACGAGATATTAGTAGAGATAATTCACTCTCAAAATTTAACAATT